TCGGATCAGTAGTGGAGGCTCCTCAGTGCAGCGAGGATCGCCGGATGGCTGAGTCTGAGGGAAGCTGCTGTGCTTGCTTCTAATTCTAAAGCATTGAGAAGGTAGCATTGTAGTTCAGGTACATCGCACCAGCGGAGAGCCCGCTGGATGGAATGGACCACGCTCAAAGGAGTGAATTCAATACCAAAACAAAACCAATCAACACATTGGATTGTAGTTGAGAGTCATCGATGGAGCGGAAGATCCGCCGGATGGATAAGTGTAATGTCAGATAATGGGATTGCTACAACTATTGAAGCAAAGAAAGGACAGCAATGTAATTGAGGTACATCGCCTCAGTGGATAGCACCCCGGACGGGATGTATTGCACTTCTCAATGGTGAATATGATAGATAAGTGAAGAAAATTGATACATGGAATGAGGGCCATTGATGCTGCGGAGGGTCCGTTGGAATGGTGAGTATGACATAATACTCATTGAATGTAACTAATTTGAAAGCAGAAGTGCCTCGGATTGTAGTGGAGGAATGTCAGTCGAGCGGGCAATCTGCCAGATCGGATGCATCTTAATTACACTTGTAAATCTTATACAATATAGACGTAAACGGGTGCATGAGATAGTAGGGGAAGGGCATCAGTGCAGCAAGCAGTCCGTCGGATGAGTGTGGGTTGTGGAAGATAATATGGTTGCTTGCAATTTTAAGGCAAAGAGAGGGTCGCATTGTAGGGGAGGTATATCGCCCCATCGCCGGAACTTCACACAGCTTCTCTATTTGCTCCTTGCACCCTCGGGCGTCAGAGTAGGTGACATCAGGCTTTTTCCCAACTTGCATCATGGTGACCGAGGCGTCGATCTTGGGAGGTAGTGGTATCCGGATCTGATATAGGCCACCTGGCCCAATCGTCATTATCAATGCTACTTGCTCACTGTCGGACACCAGTGCCTCTTCTAAGCTCTGACAACCATACCCTAAATGCGGAAAAATAGTAGAAATCCTGGAATTTGTGACAGAGAGAAGAGGTGTCCCCACCATTTTACACAGCTTCCCTCCACGTCCGAGTAGGTAACATCGGGCTTTTCCCCAACTTGCATCATGGTGACCAAGGCATCGATCTTGAGAGGTAGTGGTATCCGGATCTGATATAGGCCACCTGGCCCATCCGCCATCATCAATGCTACTTGCTCACTGTTGGACACCAATGCCTCTTCTGAGTCCTACTCCAGGACATTCCTGGGCGGGCTCTGTGCTGCCCATGAATGCCGGTGGCAATCATCGAAAAAGATGATGCACGCCTTCTTACTACATGCCATCTCAAACAGCTCCCGAACCATCCTGGTACCCTCTCCTACTTATTTCTGGGCAAGCTCAGAGCCAATGACACGGATAAAAGTGGCGTCTGTTCGGTTTGCTACGGTGCGAGCGCAAAGGGTCTTGCTGGTGCCAGGCGGTCCAAAAAGCAAGACGCCTTTTGGAGCTTCTCTTTTTGCTCCTTGCAGCCTCCGGCATCCTTGGGTGTCTGGCCCATCTGCTGACCGGACATCCTTGGGGATCATGTCCTGCACCATGTGCATAAAGAACCTACACTATCATATAGTGGTGTCTCCACCATATCACGCAGCTTCTCTATTCGCTCCTTGCACCCTCCGGCGTCGGAGTAGGTGACATCAGGCCTTGTCCCAACTTGCATCATGGTGACTGAGGCGTCAATCTTGGGAGGTAGTGGTATCCGGATCTGATATAGGCCAACTGGCCCAATCGTCATTATCAATGCTACTTGCTCACGGTCGGACACCAGTGCCTCTTCTGAGTCCTAATCCAGGACATTGCCATCAACTCTTTGGGGGGTCAATACCCGGGTCGCCGCAATTCAGGTGTCAATGGATCATACGAAAAATGTTTTATAGTCCTTGTTATTTGCACGTCACTCATTATTTTCCCTCTTCTTTTCCAGCGCTTTTTCTCAGCCCTTTCGTCTTAGTTCCCTCATCCCATCTCCCACATGGTGCAAGACATGACCCCCAAGGATGTTGTGACAGAGAGAGGTGGTGTTTCCACCACTTGCCGGATCCGTCGACCACACGCCAGATCAGAGCATCAATGATGTGTACCTGTTCTATGGGTATGTTGAATTCGTCTGTGTATGATATTCTACGATCTGATATGCTCCAAATGACCGGACCGGCTTAATTCATTACATTTGACATGTTAAAATCTCATTTGAGGAATGACAAAGTATTCTATTCGAATGCAGATCATCAAGATATATCACAAAAAAAAGTAATTCAGCGACAAGGTCAGTTCTGTCCGGCAGCATCCGGGCCCGCCATCGCTGTGTCCTCGCCTTCATCCTGATTGATCATGGCCTGCAAGCTGGCCTGCAGGTTGGCCATTTTGCTGGTCACAAAGTCCAACTGCGACTGCGTCACCAGGGTGTCCATCCGGTTGGCGATGGTGGTAATGCGAACTTGCAAAAATTCAATGTCGTGCTGGAGATCCAGCAGTCGGCCCGAGTCAACGTGCATCTGGTTCGTGCCAATGTGATCGGATCCGGACGGGTGGCCGGATCCAGACACTTGTCCTTGATGGCTCGGTCCGGCCTCAGTGGAAGCGTTGGCAGCACGGGCACTTGCCCGTGTGCGTCGACCTGGGAAACTGAGTGGCCAGAACATCAAACAGAAGGAAATACGACGTACCGTGTGCCGGATCGGCCTGCTCTTTTCCCTTTCCCTTCCCCTTATTTGCAGCGTTCAAAGGTGTATCCGGTGGCTGGTCCGCGTCGGAGGAGGCATCCGACCGCCCACGCTTGCGTGTGGGGGGTGCAGGCACGGGTGGGTCTTCCTCGTCATTGGATCCGGCGGGTCTGTCATTACTTGTGCCTTCTGCATCGTCGTAGTCGTCCCACCAACAATTGGTGCCATAGCTGGCAGGTTCCGGAAAAACAGGCGGGTTCTGCTCAAGGTAGGTCAAGGTGAAGGGGAACCCAGGCGACCATGGATTGCACTTGTCGGTGTCAACCGACCTGACGACTGTGTCTGGAACGTCGATGTCCCGACCAGCGATGTACTCGACAACGGGTTGTGCAGCCGTCTGGCAGGTATGTTTACTGAAATAGCTCGGAAAATGACAGGTGACTCACCGTTTCCACTAGCCAATCAGTACTCCACGTCATTGATGGGTTTGGCGCCCAGATTGAGGCAGCTCGCTGAACACGCGCCTCGAGGACCTGGAGGATGGCGATCATACAGGCAGAGTCGTTTTGCCATCCCTCCCGACGAGGAACTTCTGGGAGATAGGTGGGGAGGTCGGGTACATTGTCGGGTTCTGCCATTGACGATGATGAGTGGTGGTGGGAGACAAGGAAGGCAAGAACAATGGGTACAGGGTTTGCATCTGTTTATACGCCATCCGTGAATTAACACGTGGTCCACGTGGTGCAAACACTATAAATGGCACAGTCCCGATCAATCCGTTGGTCAATTCCACTTGCCCCTTCACGCCCAGCTGTGTTATGTCAGCCGAGCCTATGACGCCGGATGCCATACAGGCCTTCCTAGCATCTGAAGACAATCTCTCCTTTGCAGATGCAGTTGTGAATTATGGTCAAAGCTACTTCGACAATCCGGACCATGGACCAGGAGTACCCAGCTTATTGGCCATGGACAAGTTTGAATGTCAACAAGTGGCAGACAAGGTGAGAGATGCCAATAGTTGGATTGGTACGTTGGCTTGCCAAGCCGGATTGGAGAGATCTGATGGTGCATTCAATCAGTCCGGCTTTTGTGGACTGCGTCGCAATATATGGAAGCAATGGCACATGCGGGAGGAAGATGAGATGGTCTGGGGCCGGACCAAGATCAGATTGAATCTCGGATGCATCCAACGGTGACTACAAACTGCGGTGACAATGTATGGGACGTGCCGGACACACTGGAGAGGCATGCCCAAGGGCATCCGATCAGGACCATCCGGGCATGCAAACTGGTGGATGCGGATGGCCAGACTTTGGCATATCATTTGCCAAGGGCAATCAGTTTACTCCGCCATGATGTGAGTCGTCCCTTCCGGCTCCAATTAATTCAAACTATATGCAAATCTAGCAATACCGCAAAGATACACTCCCACTCCTACACAATGAGATGATTGAGCCAATGCAAGCATCTGACAATAACTGGAGGAAAGGTCGACCTCATTTCTGGGATCCAGTCGATGGCAGAGTGCAAGTTCTCCCACCTGGATGCATGGATATTTCAGTCAGATGGTATGGACGTGGGCAGGGTGTAAGTTCCTTTGCTGTTCATGCATGTCCCAACCCATATTCTGCTTGTAGTCCGGTGCACAAGGTGACTATTTGGGCACCCCTCCACACCCGAGTCTCAACTTCAGAACGTGTCCGGACATTCAGTCCTTTGTCAAAAAGTCAAAGATGTTTTTTGCACTGATCAATCTTGTGCTTGCTCTGACCCATCCGACTCAATATCGCGCCGGACGGACAGCACTTAAAGTGTGCAAACGGTTTCACACCATGGCAGAATGTGCCAGCCTGTGGGAGTCGGTCTTCACTGCAATTGGGGTAATATCCAATCGGATCACTGCCCCATACAAGGATTGCCTCGGATGTCTTCCCTGGTTTGATATTCTATACACAGTTGGCGACTACAACAACGGTGTTCTGGACATGCCCGGCATTGGCATACAATTTTCCTATGCGCCCGGATGTCTGGTTGCACTGTGTGGCAAGGTACTTCGGCACCAAGTTCGAAAAGTACATGGGAATAGGGTGTGTTGTGTATTTTATATGCAGGAGAATGTGCACCGCTGGCTGGGTTTGCCACCACCATCTTATTCACGTTCATGAAGTATAGACTGTACATTGATTCGGGTGTATATAAAGAGATAGATGAGTGAATGTGACTAATAGGCATTTGCTGCCCTTCATCCGACCCGGCGATCAGTTACGACGACGATCCGGCCTTCCGACGTTCTTTCTAAGGCCGTCTCGCTTGGCACCCCCTGGTTGAAGCCCCTTAATTCGGCGCCTAGCTCTAGGCGAGTTGTCGTGTCCGCCAATCTTGCAAGTCTTCCTGGGTTCCGTCACTACGTCATGCCGTCTCTTCCGTGTTTGAACACCTGGAGCCTCAACCGCAGGATTCTCTTTGCTTCTATCCGACCCCTCTCCGTGACAGTTCTCCTTGTTGGCATCCGACACCTCTGGCTGGCTAGTCAGCTGGCTTGGGTTGGATGGCCACAGTCGTCCTGAGGCAGATTCTGCCTGGGTGTCTAACAACGGGCTAGTGGCCGATGGTGCACCTGGTCCGGATAGGTTACAATCCGCCGAAGAAATAGTTGGCATTGACTCACCAACTGGCTCGGCAACGGGTAATGTTGTCTCAGCAGCGGACTGGGCAGTCTCAGCAGAGGGAGAATCCTCAGAAGAGGGGCTAGTGTCGGAGCTGCGACTTCCAGATGGTGCATCCTGAGTCACCGCCGCAGTGGAGTTAACAGGTGTGGTGGTAGAGTGAGAAGAAAGGGCAACCTGAGCCGGAGCAGATGATGTAGTGGGGGTGGGGGTTGATCCTGAAGAAAGAGGACAGGTGAAGTGAACTGGATCCTCCTCATCACCCTGGTGCTTCAGCCATTCGCCAAAGATGGTCCGAATGTCGGAGACATTCATCTTGCTCAGATTGCAAAGAATCAATCCATCCAGCAGTGGCCGATGCAGGTGGTAAGGCAGTGGTGCAAGTATACCATCGGACTGGATGACTGGGGTGAGGCTCTTCCAGGGGACTGGCTTTGTCGATCTGGTGTCAAGAACATAAATGATCTCCAAGAACGCACGCATCATATCCTTGGTGAGGACGTGCTTCATTGAAAGACAGTTATCCGGCAGCTTCAGATACCCTTTCTCTGTAAGATCGAGCTCCACACAGTCGGACGCACGAGTTGACTTGGCATCTCAAATAGGAGGCATTTCCTCATTAGGGTCCTCTCCTACCGGATGAGGTCAGTAAGTACAGATGGTCGCCACGCTCATCACGCACCCAGGAAACACTGTTCAACATGCCACACGAACCGTTTGGGCCAAGGCACTTCACCTTTCCTGCACCTCTTCCGGTCGGTATCGAAGGCCATCAAATCACGACGATGGAATGAGTGCGGATCACCACCGTATGCTTGCCCACAGCTTCGCGAGGTCAGAACTGTCCGGATATGGTGTTTTGCAGCCACGTACTGCGCAACCCTGCAAACACCCTCATTGTTCACCCATCCGGCCCACGTCACCGTCTCTGCTCCGAACTGACGAAGACAAAAGAGTTTATGCCGCCGCATGTATTCCGAAAACCATTTCTGGGAAGCACTGCACCAACGTCAGACACAAGGCTCTGGTGAACTCGTCGTCACATACTATTTCTGAATCTGTCGGGGGGCACTGTTCCGGTTCCAATCCTCAGCCACTTTCTTGTACTTGGCCTTCTCGTCCTTAGACATTGCTGCCCACATCCGGGAGTGTGTCCGGCTCAAGTGTCCCAGCCATCGAGCGTCTGTGCCATCCTCCGGACACGGTCGCTGGTCATCTATAGTTAGCTCCTCACCCTTTGCAACCTTGTCCGCCTTGTACTTCTCCCAACACTCCGGCATCACTGCAAGCATTTCTCGATAATAGTGGCATTATTACTTGAAAATTATTTTAAATGTTAAGGTGAACGGGTTTCAATAATTAGGTCCTCATTATTTTATTTTTTATCAAAGACAGGAAAGGAAGTTGCCTGTCGCTGACCCTTGTCTTTGATAAAGCCTTTAAATAACAAGGAACTAATTATTGAAACCCATTCACCTTAATATTTAAAATACTTTTCAAGTAATAATGCCACTATTATTAAGAATTGCTTGCAGTGCATGGCATTGATAATCGCAGCCTTTTCTTTTTGAAGGAAGGTCCACCAGTCCGTCCAATGGCTCCACGGAAATGAGTTGAGCTTAGGCAGTGCCGCCTGCTCCTCGGCACTGACCTCAAGTAGCTTTCCGTTCGGATCAAAGTACTTCCAGACAACCTAGATGTCAAGTGGTGAAAGCCAGTCCATCACAAAAACGGAGTCGGACTTACTACAATAGTGTCCTCTACATCAGTCAGTCCTCCCTGCAGGTAAGGAAACATGGCAATAAGATGCCTCTGGAGCTTCCAAGCCAAGTCATCGAGGTTCTTGCAACGGACCAAGTAGTCGCTTTCCGCCAACATGTTCCATTCCGCTTGCCAAACTTCGAGAAACTTTTTGACTTTGGTGGTGAGCAAAAGCTCTGCCAAAGGGGCTGAGGAAGATACAGAGGTTGCCATGAGGAGAGGTCAAAAATGAGACAGGGCGATAGGTTTGACCAAGCTCAAGCTGGTTAATATCGCAAAAGTTCTCCGCCCTCCCTGAACAGATATTCACTGGTGCAGTGTTCGGTTGCCGGACACATTTCGGATCAGAAGTGACATGACTATAGCAACATCCGGTGGAGCCATGGACAACGTGGGCTAGACGCATTTGTCAACCACCAACCCTTGGATGGATATCCTTCTATATTTCTCTTCCGAGAGCGGCACATGTTTCTCTGCCCCGTTTTGGTGTTGACTGATATGTAATGTCCTCATCTGGCCTAGCAAGTGTCCGGTTAATGGATGCAGCCTTGACATGTTGATGTGTCCAGTTGTTCAGTTGAGCACAAACCAGCCACATGTCCGATTAGTTTTTTATTACACTAGATGGTGAGGACGGTGCCAGAGATACAGTTTAGATAAGGTTTACTAAAGAGCAACAGATCTTAACCTCCTAAAAAAGCCCTGACATAGTTCTCCGAGTCATCGGAGAAGTAAATCACGTCTGGCTGAACCTGTTTGATCCTGTGATGTGGCTCAGATGTTGTCAGATCTTGATCATAGCTTCCAAAGCAAAACTCTAAGCTGTCAAGGAGTGATATTGACGCCGGATCATTGTTGGAACTAGGCAACAGCCAGCCAGACACCGGATCAATTACCCGGCTACGGCAAGGATGGTGGAATTACCATAATTAGTTCCAATATCTTATTGATCCGATACCTGATTGTTGCTCATTCCGACGAGCTGCTCTCCTCTTCGATCTTCAGTCGGTTCCAGCTATGCTGTTTGGACAGCCAACCCAGAAAGCACCAGCACCTGTAAAGAGGTACGAGTGGAGAGAGGAAAAGGTCAAGAATAAGGAAGGACAGTGGGTCAATACCGCCGTCGAACATGCATCCTTAGAGACACCCCTGGCAGAGGGATCACGCAAACCTGCTCCAATGTCACGGCTTCGGGATGAAGAACCAGTGGCTGCAAAAGCAAAGAAGGCAAAGACTTCAGCTCCAGCATCGGAACCTGATGAGGATACAGGGCAGACATTGTTCGGATTTGACAATGTGGATGACATGGGAATGCCGTTTGGTGAAAGCAAGAAAAACTCTGGGCCTGTGAGTCGGAGTGGTTGGCTTGCATACTCCTGATTCAAAATCCATCCACAGGCCCAACACGAATATCTCTGGGACTGGGAGACGAAGCGACACAATGTATCTTCGTACCATTGCTGG